CCTACGGCCATACAGGATAGATGCAATTATTACCTACACACTAATGCATGTATTGTCAAAGTTACACCACAATCGCACTTAAGACAAGCAGGATAACATAGCAAAACACAAGAGCTCAACCAAACACGTCCGAACGCAATCAGTTACAGTACATGTACGGCCTGTGTGCTCTAGCAACGCCAACTGTCAGCTTTTTGATCAGTCTTACAAGGAAGTTTGGCTTTCATATGATCACTGACGATAAAATATAAATATAAAACCAAATTTATCTGTCGGCTTGAGTTCAATGTGTACGAGAGAGAATTACTATTTGTATAGGCACATAATATGTTAGAGAGAAACAGGATCCGGCTGGATAGCGAAGCTCATCGTTCGTTGCAATCTGCAGCATCGCCAATATGTTACACCAGTTCCTCGAATTAAGATGCATATTGAAAATATCCGTTAGTTTGTTCTTTACGCCAAAATAATTTCTTTATATTGAAAGGTACACATTTTTGAATTTTGAATTATGTCGAATCTGTTTAGGATCGATTCGGGATCGGGTTTTTTGGTACCCATCTAACGCTTGCAGTGGTGCGATCCCTTGCTTCTAAATGGCTTTCACCTGCGTACACGCAGGCATGATAATTTGTACTGCGTAGTAGTATGTTACACTTTCCGACCGCTCTCTGTTGCAAAATGTAGGTATAACTCAGATGTGTTGATTTTATTATCACCGGTGGAAATCAGTCAAACAGATAATTCTAAATTAAATGTAAACACTAAGTCGCATCAAAATTGAAATAATTAATTCTAATCAAAATAAAAGCAAAAAATTAAATTCAGTGTTAGAACAGACCTGCTTCTTGAGTTTGAAAGTAACCTAACCTAGTGTTGAAGCCTGTGCGAACATTTTCTGGTATATCATATTGGCAACGAGCCAGATTGCACGACCTTCTGCGTCACCGTCGCTGGGCAAACTGGTGATGACCTTCGCTGACCAGCCGGCGTCTATCTCCTTCTAACATATTCACTTATCGCGCTTCTCTCTCGCACACATTAAGCTCAAACGGTCAGACAAAATTGGTTTTCAGTGTATATCAGTTTAGAGTAAAAAACGTTGGAGAAAGCAATAGTTTATTTACTTGAAAACTTACGTTTTGCTGTGAGCTTTTTTTATAATTTTAACGTCGTCAACCGAATTCAACAAAGTGAGGAACCATATTGACAAAATAACGACGTGAGCGCTTAGCCGCCTGTGTTCTTCAGTTCGACGTGTGTTAGTGCGAGTACGAGTAGAAAGAATTTCTCGTCACATTTCAATAACTACGACTTTTAATAATTGGCCTTACAAGGAGCATGGCCTCTCGTCATCCAGTCACCTTCGAAGGACAGTTAACTAGTCGTCACAATGTCTCGTTAGTTTTATACTGCTGGCAAGAGTTAGTCCGTTGAGATTCTGTAGCATATCAGAACTACTTATACCGTGTATTGACTAGAATTTATTTTTTCGTGTCAGAATAAGAAATAACTTTTTGCAAATACCAACGTACGGTCCAAATGGAACTATAAGTCCGGGCAAATGTATGCTTTTGTTTTGGTTACTTTTAGTGATACGTTAATTGGGTGTTTTTCCGAGATTCATTCGAAAAGGTTACGGTTTCTTAGATAAAAGTAAATGTCCTGTCTTTATTTTTAAATACAAACCGCTTTTTCATCAGTTATTCACTACTCCACAAAATAAATCCCTTTTCAGCCTCGATCGGTAATGTTCCTCAGATCAAAGGATAGAAACGGAAACACATTTGCTTCCAATGGTCTATTTTTAATTTTCTGTTCAAATCGAACGTTGCTATCAAAAAGCTTCAATGTTGTTCGTCGGAATCGAAGTAAAATATCTACAAATAATGAAATGGACTTGAATATACGGGAAATAGGAACTGTCAGTTAAATAAAAGATGTTTTGTAGATGATGTGCCGTTCGAAGTAGATAGCTTGTGAACAGATACTGGGCACACACTGTGAAGCAGTGGTACTCAAGCAGCTAAGCCCTATCGACGACTTATCTAACGAGGAGACATCTTTAGTAGAGGAGAGTGCTCGAAGGCTATTTTGTTACCTATTGGTTAAGAAATGAAAAATAGCACGCCACGCTCACTTTGTGAGGTCAAACATAATTTACTTTACACTTTCAGAACTTGTAGTTGAAAATTAAAATTGAAAGAAGTAATTTCAAAAATCATTACAAACCGCTGATTTGAAAAATACGTTGTAGAACCGCAGGGGTATTATGTAAAAAACCCAAAAGACGTCAAAAAAGCGACGAAATGCCATCTTGCAGACTAGGTAGTTTTTATTGTGCAAATAGTTCATTCCACGTCTGCTCGCTATGATCGCTGTTCGCTAACGTTTAAGCAACACGTACGCTACAAAACGAGTTCACAAGTGTACAACAGCTTGTGCTAAGTTAACATCTTATAGAAAAACCTTCGTTATGGTTCAGAAGCTTTTTTGATGTGTTGTGGTATCGGAGCCAACTCGTTAAATTAACCGTTCAGTAACAGCCTGTAGCCCCTCCATTAAACGATACCCATTCAAACAGGTAGGCAAATGACTTGAAGCTAATGTTCCAGTTGGCCCTTTTTAGCATCGACGATAAAGTCTGGCCTGTCTCCAATGCTTTGCATTTTCCAATGTTGTCTTAGGTATGAGACACTTTAGATTGAGATCAGCAACCACAAAAACAACAGGAAGGAAGAAAATTAAGACTATCTCACAACAGGCCAGATAGCCCAATGCTGAGACACGAAGTTAGGACTTTCCTTTTCAGAAGTTACTACGTTGCGAAGTAACAAAACTAATGTTCGGTAAAACAGCTGCGAAGACGTAAAAAAGGAATTGAAAAAAGTACTCACTATTAATTTGATCAGGAATTTCAAGTACTTCCCTGTTACTTGTTTTTCTCGTAAATTCTGTTAAAGTTGTCGCCGTTCGATTCACGATTAACTTTTTCCTGAATTAGCAACATTTGGGGATGTCTAGATCTTCCACTGCATCCACTTCGACGGTCTTTGCATGATGTAAACAAAACTTCCCAGCTCGGTACAGAAACATCTGAATGATCTGAATATGCTGAGCCTGTGCGATCAACCTAATCCGCTGCTTTGCTGATAACAGCAGTCGAGCAGAAATTCAGAGCGACAAGCCCGTAAGCTGGAAAAAGGAAGACTAGCGGCGACTTCCTCTCTGACGATATACCTGAAGTTTATCACTGCTTGGGGCCGCAAGGCGCATCTGGTTTCGATGAATGGCCGAGTTCTGCCAAAGAGCCGTTCATTTCGGCTGGTCGGAGTCCAGATCACCGAGGACTTGATCCGGTACGAACACATCTCGTCAATAGCGTCAGCTGATGCGAAAAAGCTAGGCTATATATAAATATATATATCATCGGACATCTGATAATGCCTGCTATCTGACATTTTTGCCGAATTTGAGGTATATGCACATTTTTCTTCGTCTACCTACAGCGCACATTGTGATAGAGTCCGCTTTTTTAATTATTCAACCAAAACAATACCTACCACTGGCAACACGTCTGTCAATGAGCGGAAATTTTAGCTATCTGACAATTACGCGTGCTATTTTTCAGAGGTTATGTAGGCTGGTGTTTCGCGATCAGTTTTGCTAGTAACAAGTATGAGAATAATTCCACTAGGTGTTTACGATTAGTGTTTATGAACGTAAGATCACAGTGAGGTATGTTTTTGATAATGAAGAGGCATATACTCATCAAAAGTTTACCTTGTTTTGAAGAAGCAGTTAGAAGATATTGCATGTATCTTTCATTAGTTCAATCGCAGTTAGCGTCTTATGTTTTGCTTCTTTTATACATAGCCTAACATCTAACTGCGCTTAGATATAAGATCATTAGCCGTCAGTAATTCGAACAGTTTTAATCTCTATATCTGCTTGAAGTGATGCATCTTTCCAGGAGAATGCTGACCAGAACACAAAAAATTCTTAAAGCTGGAGCCCAAGGTGTAATTTTACAGTCTGCCTAGGAAGGTATACAGTCAGAGCCCGCTAACATCTCTACGAAGGCGGACTTGGATTCCAACGTTCAGGGATCCACTTCTGTGGAAATAATTGATCTGCCTTCTGATCAGATCAATGAATTCATGGATGAAGACTTAGTTTCCATATTGATTTTACAGGTTGAATCACAACACTTAACCCAGCTCCAAAACATTGATATAGAAAATACACCAGTCTTGATAGCGTCTGATGCTGAAATAAACGATGTTCTACATGACGTTGAAATGGAACGTCTCATAGATAACCAAAAAATCAATTTAGGTCGTAGGAACAAACTCAGACTCAAACTTCAGATATGAAATTGGTTACGAATCAATAAGTCCCGCAACCTTCGTACAGGATGAGAATTGTTCGCCGATTATTAATTATGTTGAAGCTGCCGACCAAGCTGAAAGATCTAGGTTTCAGGACAGTACTACGGAATCAGATTGAGGTAATGTGGACGAAGGTCGCAAAAGAAAACATGTGAGTAACGCAGATAAGTGGAAAAGAGCTATGAATCAAAAACTAAGAATGAAAGGAGAAAACTACCTAGGGTTTTCTCGTGATAGAAATCAATTGTTTAAGCATGATGTTCCCCGACCAGCTAGAGCTCTTGGAAAACGCTGTTTATCAGAAATGTGTCTGAAAATAAAAAAAAGGGTTTTTCAATAGTTTAAGCAAAGGCACAGGCAACGAAATATTCACTAGATTCTGGAAGAAAAGGAATTGGGACCAAAGAAAGGTTTTTGTTTCGGGTCATGTAAGCTTACAACCAACTGTCAGGAAAACCAAAAATCAAGAAGATAGTAGACGTGAAAATACCTTAATCTATAGACTTAACAATGGCGAAGATTTAGTGCAAGTTTGTCGAACATCGTTTTTGAATACTACTGGACTTAAACGTTCCACGGTGGAAGCTTGGGTGAAAAACAGTGTACTTGGTACAAATGAAGCAAAGTCCCAAGAAAATGAGAAAAGAAGGCATAGAACTCACAGAGTTAATGCTCTTGAAGGTTTAATGCTGTTCTGACAACCTTTTTTGGTGAGTTACCAAAGTAACCTTCACATTATGTGAGGAAAAATAAAAAAAAAAGTTATATTTGGAACAGCAATTTACTACACTAAGGGTGGATTTCACCAAGGTTGTCAAATTAACAGGCCGTTATTCTCCACCTATAGGGTAACAGTCCGTCAAATACAGCGAATAAGCTTCAAGTTCCAATCAACAAATTTTAGCAACCAATATTTATAAAATGTTGAAAACAAGATACTGTCAAAGTATGAGATGACAGCTTGTCATTGAAACATCACCAGCTTATTGAATATTAAGAAATTACATATAATTTAGTCAAAATTTGAAAAAGTATTGAATAAACTTCATGTTTTTGTTTAATATTGTCGATTGTTTATTCATATTTATACTATTTTCTACAATTGATATGCAATTTTACTGATTCAAGATCACCTACCGTGTGTTCTTTTCATATAAATCTTCTGCAGGTATCCATTAAACACCTGCTTGATGACAGACTCTACCAAAAATATCATAGATATTGCTCGTTTCCAAACCTTCATTTATTTACTTGCCGTTCATCAGAACCATTATGGCACCTTAGATTGATACTCCCATAGAACCATTCAGGTTTTTTGATATTCACAGATCTATAATATTTTTTGTTGATCAGGAACTGAACAAACATCCACAATATATTTACAGCGATCAAGAAATACCCAAATATATGACGTAGAGCTACCAGCAAACCTGAAATCTGCAAAAAAAATAGAAATTTGCAATATTTTTCCTTTTTCCCGAGTACACATTCTAGGTTATACCTATAATCAGACATTATTTGAATAACAGCTGATTCAAAACTATTTATACACTGAAGAAGATTCAATTCCATGCTATTCAATGACAACACGGTGACTTGTGTGGTTGTCAGCGGCCATTTTTTGAGGGTGCGACATGGTTGCCAGATTGAGCATTAATATCCCGTTTCACCCCCCTGGTCCCAGTGGAGTACGCTCCGCCAACTGTTGAAATATACTCTACTATGCTTTATATGACTATTCGTGGAATTTTTCTCAAAATCGTTGCACAACACTTGAAAAAATGCAAATGAAAATTTAAAATTATTTCCATGACGCCCCAAAATAGCTGCGTCGGTACCTCGGGTGATACATCTTGACAGTAGGGATGTTCGCTACGATCCTATATTTAGAAGTATCGATACTTTTGCTTCCCATACCCGGTATTTTGGATTGATATTTTCATATGCGGTATTTGGGTGTATCGATACATTTCACGAGTATCGTCATCTTTTGATCCGGACTGTGTCAGAAAGAGTGACTAACTTCAGATTACTTTTCTGCTTTGTTTCCTTCCGTTGGATATCGATAATTTTATTCCAATATCTTAGAGTATCAATACTTTCTAAAACGATAAGGATCGATACATAAATGGCTTCCACCTTTCGTGGGTCCAAACATCCCTAATCTTGACAGCTTGTCGTTCTTGTCAACTGGGCTGCAGGGTGCGGTGTTGCCTTTACTATCTTACATTTTGCTAAAATCTTATGACAAATAAAAGCTTCAAATGAAATATTGACGAATATGAACGGATATGTATAGAATTTAGAATATAAATTCATATTGTCTATGCATGGACTCGACCCGGATTTTTCTGTATTTTTACCGAAGAGATAATATTTACCGTTAACATCATTCTCCACGATTTTTCAAAATAATTTAAATATTTCTATACCTGCCGAAAAAGAGCTGAAACCAAAAATAAAGCTAAAAGTTAATTTTATGGAGTATTCAGAGTTTTATGCCCCATATTAATCATACATATGCATACACACTGAGGCAGTCGGGCACATGAGAGGCGTAGATTTGGGTTGACTATGATTACGAACGCACATCCTCATCCCTTACTCCGCTTGCCACGAATTGATTTTTGTGCATACAAAAGGTACAGACTGGTAGATTACCGTCATTACCTCATCACCGGACAAGCAATAAAGAAACCGAAACCTGTCTGTCTTCACAATAAATATTTAGTTAAAATGAGAGGTGACCTCAGGGGTAAAACAGAAAAATATTCATAATCCCATAAGCAGGAATCGAAAAAGGAGTTTCCAGAATATTTTGCAAAGTATTTTGAAAGAGCGACCAGTATCCAAATTATAGAAGTTGTAATATAGAACGATGCCTTCAAAAAACATGTTGTGTGCTCGCCCAATATAATAACAGACGTTTTTCATGACTCAAAGGTCCTTGGTCTACCACTGATCTGGTGACGGCATTTACCTTATACCGAACTCAACGACACTATTTACAGATTCCATTTTTTCTTGTTTGGCAACACTGCAGATCACTTTTAAAATCAATTGATATCGCAGACGTGTTAATAATAATCGAAATAATAAGAAAATACAACAATGTTGATGAATGATATATTTTCATAAATACGTATTTTTGATTCTGATTTATAATATCCAGACGATGAATAGTAGGTGGATGCGGATACTTTTACAAATATCGATGTTTTAGGACCCAGAAATGCAGAATTTGCTGTTTGTTTACATTTAGTGTGGATTTCTAGATCATAAATTGACAAAAATGGTTTTTGATGTAACAAAAGATGATGAACCAGTTGGAATACGTTTTATATCCTTTTTTTGCAAAATAACAAAAATCGGTACATTTCTACAGGTACGTAGCATGTACAACATCCTGTACGTGATATACAGACAAAACTAGATTGCCATGCATGAACAGTCGTCAAAAACAGTGAAAACATCCTACCAAATACAATAGCTATAAAATCGACATATTATTTGCCGCATTCCCATTGGTCCCACTTAAATAGCTGACCATCTTTTCTGAAATGATAAAAAATTGAAATTCTCTGAAAGTTATAGTAATTCTAAAGCACAAAGACATAATATTACGTCTATAGTGTACCCTTATTTATAAGGCAACCGTTTTTTCACGACTTTATTCAACATTTCAATAGAAATCACTGATATTCAGCGAGCTTTGACAGCTTCTGTCAAATTGCATTTCGGTAAAGTCTTTTCCTATTGGTCCAAGGGACCGTTAAATATTAATGTTGGTGAAATTGGCCCTAAAACAGTTATATGACCTTTACTTCGCTGTTTACAAAGAAAAAGGTAAACCATATTGGTCAAAAATTTAAGGATACATTCAGGGAAATGAGTCTTGCATTATTTCCTCCAAAAAAGGACCGTTGCGACCAATGCGTTGAACATGAAAAAGGAAATATCGATGAAGCCGTTTGGAAAAAGCATTGTGAGGATAAAAATAGTACATGAAACAAAGCAGAGATAAGATCAAATCCATTAGTAATGAATGCATTATGCTTTGCATGGACTTACAAGCTGTGAAGGTATGTTCCCTAGTAGATGCAACTAAATGTTATTTCTAGACTAAACTGGGATGTCACAATTTCACCATTTTCAATAGGGCATCCCGCCAAGCTACATGCTATTGGTTTACAGAAATAGGTTGTGATCTACAGGCCTCCACTTTTGTTTCCTGTTTAATAGACTATTTGGAAAGACATTGTTTGAGGGAGAGTAATATTCCTATTATTACTTACTCAGACGGATGTACCTACCAGAACAGAAATAACATTATGGCAAATGCACTTCTTAACTTTGCAATGGAACACGACGTTGTGATTTCTCAGAAATATCTCACCAAAGGACACACCCAAATGGAATGTAACTCTGTACACAGTTGCATTGAAAGAAAACTGAAAAATAGATTTATTGAATTACCAAATGATTATGTTAAGGCGTCAAAAGAAGCTAGAACAAAAGCAGGGCCATATGAGCTGATCCAATTGAGTTACGACTTCTTCAAGGACTACTCTCAAACAGAGGTGCAGCGATACTCAACAATTAGACCAGGCAGGGACAATGTAGTCACGGACATCAAAGTACTATGTTATAATCCCGATGCAAAAATTAGTGTGAAACTAGACTTCAGTGTAGAGCCTCAGAAGTTGCCTATGAGACCAAAACAGCTACCTGTCAATTACACAAAAAAAATAGAAGCACGTACAGGATCTCAAAAGTCATATCTAAGGACTGTCACATGTTTCACTACAATTTGTCATATGTCAAGGAAAGAGGCTAAACTTTCATTCAAGGTGTAACTGAGTATACATGCTATTATCTTTTTGATTTGTAAAAGCATTAGGCTTTTAATTTGATATAATGAATAACAGTTTTTCTAACACGTCTGTCACTAAATCCATCTATGCATCATGCATGCTAACTGCAAAGAAAGTTAGCAGAAATATCAGCTATCTGCACTAATTTTGTCAATTAGAGCTTCATTTAGATAAAAACGCATTAAATATGTGTTAAATGTCATTTATTTTTTGTGCCCAAAGTTGTAGAGTCTTAAGGCCGGTAGTATAAAGTTGAGGTTTTTTTCGTCCCCTGTAAAATTAGCAGGTCAAATGTCCTACGATATATTATATATATATATATATATATATTCAGAACACTTACTCGCCAGTGAGGTTGCAGTCAAATGGTGTTTTAAAACGAGAGCGTGGACGACAATACTTGTTGCAATTGTAAAAACAAAAGAACGGACACATTGGGTTTGTTGGTTACAACGGAAACCTTAGCTAGATGTTACCACTATTATATATCAATACACCCGCACAAATTAAAAATTATAAGACATACCCAAGTTATTAAAAAACTAGTACTGCATTTTGGGGAAACAGCACAAACTCTTCTAACCTCGTATGTCTGTTACACCTGGTGACAGTAAGGATTTTTTCGCGAGTCCACGGTGTAGCACAGTGCACTACCGGGAATCGATGCTCAAATTTTCGCGAAGAACGGGAATAGGGGAAGTCAGATGTGACGTCGTCCGAATGTCAAAAAATCACGTGGTACGGGTACCCGCCTAACGTCTGTGAGGTACTAGCGGGTGACAGGTCTTATGTCAATGTCATTTAAAAAACAGGCATCTCAATTTAAAATTTGTCTTCGCAGTGCTGAAAATTGAATTAAATCATTAAATCATAAATGGAGAAACACGTCCACCTGATTTTAAATGACGAGGGAGAAGGTCATCGAAGATATACCGCACTTGTCATATCAAATGATTGATTTTATTAATATACAGGTATATGTACATTGCACAACAAACGATCGGTCTTTTTATTTCTGATTCAAATAAGGCAGCTAAGTTTATCAAGGAGCTTAAGGCAAACATTTAACCAACAAAATTCCAGTATATATCCCGTAAAATGAAGGAATTTTTCAAGGTCTCATAGTAATAATAAATGCACAAATTGGTTCTTTCGGTAAGACCTATAGTGGCATCTGTTGGATCAGCCACGCAGGCCCTGCCCTCATTAATTGCTGATACTATAAAGTAATCTAGCATCAAAGGAGAAAATTATATAAAATACTTTTTTGTTTTTAAACAATTCAATAGGTTTCAAATACCACCTGATCATATTATTGCTAGTTTAGATGTGGTATCACTTTCCAGTAATGTCTATTTGGAAGCTTGCATTAAATCCATAAACAAAGATTGGGATCATATATGCCAACACAGCCATCCAACTCTGGATTCTTTCATTAATATTTTAGAGTACCTATTCCACAATAATTATTTCGCGTTTAATCACAAAGTCTTCTCACAAACACATGGTTACCTCGTGGGCTCAGTGTTATCTCCAATTTTGGCAGAATACGTGATGGACGATCTGCTTGATATTGTTATTCAAGTATTGTCATATAACCTAATCTCCATAAAAAAATATGTGGACGATATTACTGTTTGTCTTCTGAGGGAGTGGATGGTATTGTTAAAGTTTTCAACAACTATGAAAATTACATTCAGGTCACCATCGAAAAAGCAGATGATAATCAATCAGTTTCCTTTTTAGACTGGTAGACTGGTACAGGAAATCACTTTTCTCTGGAAGGTTACTGAACTTCAGGCCTTACCATGAACTTAAAATAAAGATAAGTTTGGTGAAACAAATGAGGAACAGGGTAGTGAAAATCTCCGATAATACTTTCCACTTTAAGAAAGGTTTCAGCTTTATTCATCAATAATGGTTATCCGAAGTATTTAATTAACAGAATCCTGTTCAGCTCTCCTCCTAATATTTTGCCAATTTCAAATAGCAGTATTGTCAATGACAACCCTGTCTTGTCCAGCCGACGCCCAGTAATTCTATAACTAATAATAATGATAACATTATGGATTATGCTTCTAATCCCGGAATTAGTTATGTTAACTCCTAAACTGATCAGGCTGTATAATTCCTTAAATTGCCGTTTTGCTTGTAAATCAGTACTCACAGTCAACAGTGTATTGTCCAAAATGAAGGATAGGGTTGCGCTGCTTGATTCAACCAAAAGTGTCTATTGCATTAATTGTAACAACTGCAATTTAGTTTACACAGGCCAAACATCTAGATCACTAAAAGGCAGGACAACCTCACACAAAAGTGACGCCAGATTACATCCAGAGAGGTGTGCTTTGGCATCACATGTTAACACTACAGGTCATTCTATCAGTTATGACAGTATTAGGGGTCTTGACAAAGAACAATACGTCCATTTTTAGAAATGCCCCGCATTTTTATGACAGATCACTGTATGGATAAAAAGGCTGATGTTAAGAAACTTAGTGTCATTTATTCTTACTTCTTGAACTGCGAAAAATTGGAACGACCACATATTCCAGTTGTTCCAACATCCTCCCAAGATCAGAACAAATTTCCATTATATATCCCGTAAAATGAAGGAATTCTTCAAGGTCTCATAGTAATAATAAATATTAATAAATCTTCACACAACCCATCTTTTCTGGTGTATCATTACCATCATATGTTAATATAATTCACTTTTCCAAAAAAAAACTAATTCAGTATTTTGGGAAATATGAAGTTGTTTCGAACGCCCCTCGTATGCACTATACCTGAAATTTGGCAATGATTTTTACACTTCCACATTCCTTCGCGACAATCATCTGTCATCTGTCGGCAGAACACATTTCCGTTTCACTGTCACCACGTGCAACAGACGTACGAGGTTAGAAGGGATTTTGCTGTTTTTAATAACTTGGGTATTTTTTACAATTTTTAATTTGATCGGGTGTATTGATAAATAGTGGTGACACCTAGCTATGGTTTCCGTCGTTACCAGCAAACCCAATGCGTCCGTTCCTCGTAGTAAGTAGGGGAAAGCGGAGCTATACCGTACACTTAAGCGAGAGTTATCAGTGGTAAGCTAATATTCAGTATAAAAATATAAAAAACAAAGCAACGTATAATTTGGACCATTGACTCCTAATTACACCCAAAAAAATTGGAAGCGTTCCACTGTTTACATTTGAAAATTAAATTATTGAAAAAGTATCCCTGTACGATGTAGCCCCGGGGGTCGGGGCTACACCGTACAGTAAAACAATCATCTAATTAGGGAAGTAAATAATAGCCAGTAATGCTATAAACTATTAAACAAAAAAGATTTTATTACTTATTGAAACATCAAGTAAGAAACACTATATGAAGCTTTTGTTATTTGTACTTAATTTAACTTACAAAAGTATAAGAAATGTTAAGTTAACTTTCATGAAAAAAGTTATAAAGTTGATAGAAAAAAGTATTTAAGGTTTATAATACATTATACATTTATACAGAATTCACAAATAAAGTTATCTGCAGACTCGGCTCCACTGCAAGCCGAATGGATCCACCCAGCGCATGAGCATCACCTAAACCAGAGTTATTTATCGTAGCCAAAATCTCAACAAGAGGCACACATCCTTTGTGCCTGAAGCTGCTCTTGTTAATCCTTTTTGTAGAAATGAATTCTTTGGATCCATATCGTCCAAGTAATCATCTTGGCAAATGTATTTTATGTCAGTGGGGTCATCTTCTGATGATGAATCGTCAAATCTAGTGTTTCTTCGGCTTTTTGACTTCCCAGATCCTGCTGTCTTGAAACTGAGGCTTCTTGGCTTCGAGTTTCCTATAGTTTTACTTTTGGGTATCGTGTTGTCTTGCTTGATATTTTCTTCTCTTCCTTTTTAACTTTTATCCTTTCTTGTAGTTGTTGAATCTTTTTATTCAATGCTTTCACTGTAGCTGACTATTCCAGTTGTGCTTTATTTGGAGACTTCGTAAAAATAACTGAATGTTGTTTTCTTGAAGTTATCTTCGCTCTTTTAGACTGAGGCGTGGGTGAAAGAGATTTAAAAGGTACTACTACTTGATTGAGGTTGAGCACCAGCATCCGAACAAGGCATGGTAGGTGAATTCTATAGAGATCCGACATCTATGTGATCTGGAGTTAGGTCTTCGTTCATATCCGTATCCATTCGGGCTGTAGTTGGGCTGTCCTCGACTCCGGAGATTGAAGTATCCCTCAAGGCTGCACCAACAGCAACATATTTGTCTTCTATAACAGGTAATCTCTGTTCAACCTCTAGTCGCACTGCAAAATCTTCTTCAGTGAATTTTTTCGGATCAAGAGGGAATATCCCAGCCGATGCGAAACCACTTATACCTTTTGCTAAATTAGCAGCTTTAACATAAGCATTGTTAAAAATAGCAGCGAAATCGTAAGGTGTTATCTTCTCATGATGTATGACCTAAAAAAATTCTCACATTCCTTGTTAAATGCTGCTTCCAGGCTGCTAAATAAATTGATATCTAATGGCTAAAGGCGATGTGACGAGTGTGGCGGCAGTGTCACCACAATTATTCCATTCTCCTTGCAAACATTGTACGCTATTAAGGTAGTGTAGGTTTTGTGGTTGTCCATTACGAGAAGCACAGGCTGCTCTTTAGTTGACTTAGCATGGAAAATAAAATGGTGTAACCAGGTGAGAAATAACTCTTCAGTAATCCACCCGTTATGACTGCAATGGTAAATTGCATTTGGTGGTCCACCTTTTGTCAAATTAGGGCTCATTCTTTGGCGAGGGAAGATAAACATTGGTGGAATATTTTCACCAGCAGCACTCATTGGACGACCCACAGTGATATTTTCCCCCGTTCCCAGCTTGTAGCAGCACTTGCTTAATTCCTTTCGGGCCTAAAGTCTTTCCTGGTTTTTGGACCTTGGAGCCGTAAACTGGTGTTTGTTCATTTTACAGTTGAGGTTGGAGAAAAAAAGATCCACTTCTTCTTTATTGAACGCAGTTATTCGACTTATGCTTGTTGCTTCTGGTTTGCAAATGCTGATTCTTAGGTTCCGCTTCAAAGATCCATTAAACCAATCTTGCCCTGCTAATTTAGCTGATTTGTTACATTGGTGTGGAATGCCATTTTTTCTCAGTATACTCAAACACTAATCTTCGAAGCTCAACCGAAGAAATGTCGTAAAATACTTTAGCTAGAAGTAAAACTATTTCATTTTCTTGCTCTTGTGTCAATACAGGTTAATGCCCTAAAGCTAACTTTTTAGAGTCACGAGTCTTAAGTCTATCACTCAAGGTCATAACTGGAATGTTATAAGCTCTGGCTGCATCTCTTAGTTTTTTCACGTTATTTATGACGTCATGAATAGCGGCCTTCATTGCTTCTTCCGTCCATTTGGCTCTTTGGGTTGTCCTTTCATATTTTCGGACCATCTGTAAAAAAAACCTTAATGTTATGGCTGGCAAGTTATGTTTTTAATAGGCTACAAATAATAATGGTGAGGGGGTAGAGTATAAAACTATAATGTTCATGATATTTTTTTCATAAATTTCAATCTATTAATCTTGCCAAATTAAACCATTTGTACGGTTTAGCCCCATCCTGTACCACGTGGGAGTTTAATAACCTACCCACAAATTCCACCGTCAAACTAATCATCACTCGTGAGCAAAAGAGAGCTTAAGAAAAATAGTTTCTTATGATCTTGTAGTTTCTAGCTTATAAGTAAAGGTTCTCGACTCACCTCTTATTTGGCCGTACTTTCGACAAGAAATTATTAATTTTCATTCGAAATTTCATACCTTCAAGGAAAGATTTCAAAAGTTTTAGGAGCCAAAATGGAAAGCCCTTTTGAATTAGTTTATAGAGAAGACCATTGTGCCGCACCTTATCAAATGCCTTCGAGACATCCAGAAGCAAGATGACAGTACTTTCGTTGAGGATGACGCCCCTGGTTACTCGCTCCACAAGCCTAACCGCCTGTAACTCCGTACTAAGCTCAGACCGAAATCCAAATTGCACGTCAGGAGTCACATGGTGATCTGACGAGAAATTCGCAAGGTGACGTAGAATCACCTTTTCAGCGAGCTTAGACGGAGCAGACAGTAGGCTGATGGGATGATAGTCCTGGGGAAATATCGAAATCACCTTCTTTGGAATCATAACTTCCGCAGTCTTCCACGCCGATGGAAAGTACTGGGTCCTTAGCATGGCATTGATAATAGATACAAGAAGAGTCAAGGACTTTCGTGAAGCAGCTTCAGCGCCTTATTAGTGATTTGATTCTCCCCAGGCGCTTTACGCACCTTGAGGTCTTTAATATGACCTTGAAGCTCTGCTGATGTGCAATGCGGGATCTCGGGAGAAGCCTCTGATGTGCTGTGCAACTCTCCAGCTGAAGAATCTTTCGAAAAAGAATCTTCGGAGGAAGAATCACTAATGGCGGCGCCGGGATCACTGACGCCGTTGGCCCTAAAATATCTCCTGACGGATCTGTTGCTCCTCGTCGATATCATTATCAAGACCATGATTGGAAGAGAACTGTCATTCCATAGCATCAGCGAAAACCTCGACCTTATCCTCTGTCCTGAAGACTATGCCCCCAGGACCGTGGATGTGCGGGAGTTGTTCTCGCTTTCCGTTTCTGAGCGACTTCGCCACTTTCGAGAGAGGAGTACTTGAGTCAAGCATCCCAGCCAGAAAGTCGTTCCATTGCTCATTACGGAATTCATGGAGAGCATTTCTTACTTCATGAACAAGATTCGTCGCTCTGCGAGTGTCATCAGGATGAATCATGAAATGCTGTTGAAGAAAACGTCGAAGTATGGCATAAATGGTCCACCATATCATTGGATAAGGTCTTTTTTAGATAATAGGTCTCAATTTGTGAGCATCGTCGATAGTGGTCTGAATGCGCCCATTAAGTCCGACATGCCTCACATCTCCACAGGCGTCCCTCACGGTTCAATTCTAGGACCTGTGCTATTTAGTATATATTTAAATGACCTTGAGTTCTGTTTCTCTGAAGGTAGATTCATTTTATATGCAGATGATACTTCAGCGGTGATATCGAATAAGTGTGAGGCTACCTTAGAGAGAGATTGTGGAGTTTTACTGCAAAATATTCACAAGTGGCTTAGAAGTAATCAGCTCCATTTAAATTCTGAAAAAACATCGGTTGTCCAATTTCGCAACATTCAGAAGAAGCCTATGGCATTAAATATCACTTTCAACGGCTCAAGAATGTACCTTGACAAGCAAGTCCAACTCTTGGGCTTGTATCTAGATACAGGTTTGAAGTATATATTGCATCAAAGATAAACTCCCAGTCATATCTCATGAAAAATTTGGGAATGGTCCTTACTGAAGCACAGATAGTTTCTGTTTACTACACTCAAGTTGAGACACGTTTGAGGAGTGCACAATGCTTCTGGGGTTTGTCCACAAATGCTCAGCAAGTATTTTTGGCTCAGAAAAGGGTGGTTAGATGCATGATAGGAGTCAGTAGTAAGCATTCTTGTAAGGATATTTATAAGGGTTTCAAGATTTCAACTTTCATCTTTATTTTTATACGAAATGGCGGTGTGTACTTTTATTCACAAAAATAGGTATTTAAATAATTTTAGTTCGTACTCGACCAGGCAAGCTGGAGACTTGACTGTGTGTTTTGCGAAGTATAAGATCGGCGTCAGATCTCCGGAAATACTGGGTCCACGAATTTTCAATAGGCTACCAAACCATATAAAACTGTATGGAGATATACATAATTTTAAGGTTAAACTGACAGAATTCCTTGTATGTAAATATTATTATGCCGTCTCTGAATTTGTTATTTTATGATTTATTCGTGTGTTCGTTTTCATACATATATTTATTTTATGTTGTTTTATTAGTTTTTATTCTGACGAATCCTATGCATACATCGTCTCTTAGGATAATAAAGAATTTGAATATGAATTTGGACGGATGGACGGACGCATAGATGTACGGTTGGACGGATGGACGGATAGGTATATCGATAGATACACATTTATTTTCAACAGGCACGTTTGCACCCAATAACAGGGAATGCTTAAAACCAATCGAACAAGAAAGAACAAAACAACTAATGAATAATTTAATTGAGTTACACTTACATTGTGATCTGCAAAACTGACTTGTGAAAGGGGGGGACAGATATCAATGTCACAAAAATTCTCCTATCATCATTCCATGAATCAGTTTATACAAGAAGGCTGTTGGTAGAAAATGCGCTTTGTGTTCAGAGAAACAGAATCCGGTTCATTAAGTAGCAAATAGTAATCGAATCATAGGTGAGGAGATACACCCGCGCCCTTGAAATGTAGATATTTCAAAAAAAATTGACTAATATGAGTATTACAGTGTGGGTAACAAATCAAGACACCATTCTCTAGCTTGCTGCGTACATTATTTGTATATAGAGTTTTGAGAACTGAGACAGAGAATTCTCTAGAATTTTTCACGATGAACCACAACATTTTATCAGTGTTGACGAAACAGTGGTATCTTTTTGATCGAAGATAATTCCCAAATCATCGCTTGCTCTTGACGCTTAAGGCTAACGTTTCCAAGGTTTCCCTTGGTTCATTTACACCTTAGCCTCAATGTAAAGCTTGCATTTGTCCCGTCCAAGACGTCAGTTGAACCTAGACTGCGCCATGCTCAGCTTTACTTCAACCGATGGATGAATAAACATGAAACCCTACGGACTACGGTCTACGGATTCCACCAGTCTCACTGGTCTTCCAAAGATAAGTCGTATTCATTTTAATTCCATTATATAGTTTGTTTGCCAACCATTGGCGACCATTTTTTCTCTCATACCACCATGCCAGTGTCAACTTGTGTCACACTTTCAAGCCTCATACCTCCAAATGGACTACTAGGAGCTAGTTCTAGCCGCTTTTCTGTGTGAGCGTCACAATATGCCGTGTTCCCTGGACAATCATAGAAAAGGCGGTGATGAGACTTAAAGTAGTTTTAGGATATTTCAGCATATTACCTGATTAATTTGAAAATAGATTTATAAGTAACACCTGAGGTGCACGGAGATTTGCAAAAAGTCAATCTACTTAACTCCGTTCAACTCTTCTTTTATCTGATGACTTCCTTGTTTCAGTATATTCTAGAAAGGGATAGAATGTTGACCCTATACTTCCTATGTTCTGGATTTTGCTTTATTACAATCATCCTCGTGGAAATAGCCATTTTCAAAAGGTAAGTTATGCATCATAAAACATTTATACTTGTAAAATATTTCTTGTAAATGGCAAAAAAGTGAAAATGTACGCTGAGCACGAAGCTTACATGAAAGGCTTTGTTATACTTGTATTCCATCATGCCCGTTTGCCGAGATACAGGGTGTTGAAGTATCTACAGAACGAATGAAAATATGACCTCAAATAATTTAAGTAGTTTTAACAGCATAAGAAATACACAAAAATTTTCTCTGCTCAAACTAAAAGAGAATACTTTTTGGATTATGCATTTGATTCTATATGTCTTGTAATTTATATCTCTATAATTACATGATTAAACGAACTTACCCGTAAATGATGTTCAATCTTAATTATGTGTGTGAAGTCCTCGTCGAAGTAAATAGAATAGATAACGTAGTGCCCCCGTATCTCACTAAAATTAGGTACATCTATGTGAGACTAGCATTACATTTTGCTTGTGATAGCAAATTCCACATGGTTTGTGATAACCATGGAAAAGGATTGTAAGAATGCACATGACAGTTTATGAAACCGCCAAAGTACCATATTTCGTTAATAACAGATAGAGGTTTCATTTATGTCAAACCAGCGTTTCATTTTGCTTGTGGTAGCAAATTCTATGTGGTTTGGGATAGCCATCGAGCAGGTCAATAGTATTTACATGACAGGTTACGAAACCGCCGAAATACCATTTTTCATTAATAACACATAGAAGTTAGGTACATCTATTGTAGACTAGCGTTAAATTTTGCTCGTGATAGCAAATTCCTCCTGGTTGGTGATAACTATGGAACAGGACTGTTCGTATGAACATGACCGGCTAGGAAATCACCAAAGTACTATTTTTTTGTAATAACGGAGATTTGGTACCATTATGCCCAATTAGCGTTACATTTCGTATAGGTGGTACTCAAACAGCAGGGCGTTATGTCACAAATACCTATTTGTATCAAATTGTTCACGCTATTGATTTATATCATGTTTTATCAGCCTGAAATTTCCTACAATTCAAAAAGAAAAAATAACTTCACACTAGGAGAGCGCTGACGCTGACACGGAACAGGTGCAATCTAGAAACTTTTGAAGGAGAAAAGAGACTATGACAATCAAGGAGGTCATAAAGGCATCCTACGATTGTAGGAATGACTGGCCCTTAGAGGTCATGTATTCTGTTTCAATAGATGACTCATCACCACGATGATGAGGCGACCTTAGTATAATTAATGTTCGCGCATCGTTCCAAGGCTGACATTTCGAGAGCCGGCCTTGCTGATGACGATAGATCAATACATTCTATTCTATTATAGCCACCTAAGGTAAACCCTGACATAGCGGCCGCTATAATAGAAATTGTTGCACGCAGGGAGTGCCCGCTTGTTCTCTGTACAGCAACATGTCAGTTGTTCATTAACAGCAAGTGGCAATACTCTCTCCTCTAGGTTCAAAGAAGAGGGAAGAGGAGCATGCTGGCAGATATTCACATTTAAGCAAACAACTCATGAGTACTCTAACAGAGTCTTTCATTGATAGCTTGCTCTTCGATGTAGGTCTGACCAAGCAACTCAATTCTAAATAAAAATCAGTTAAATATGAGCAGCAACTGAAGGCCAAAATGCCGGACAACAATTGAAGACACAAGTGCATAAAGGATCTATGTGTCATTTTCAGGTTTTTGAGAAAAATAAGTTTAAAGTTTTTTTCGTCGAACTTTTTTATTAATAAACTTTTAAATACAAAATTTTGGAAATACACTAAACTGGAGGTATATTTTTTTATGATTAAATTAAAATATTTTACAAAAAAAAACACTTAAACGTACATAGATCCTTTATCTTCTATGAAGATGTAATGAAATATTATTGAGAAAAGTACATAAAGGATATATGTAACCAACATAATTACAAAAACACCTTTCTTATTTAACAGGTTCTTCTTTTTTTTACACTTTTTGTCAGTTCTTTTGTGGGTTCTTCATTTTGATTAGTTTTGTCTTTATTTTCCCACAGACGGCTGTAACAATGTTTATAAGGTTCCTCAATATAGCATACTTGTTATTTCAAGTTTTCAATTTTTTCGGCGGGATGCACTTGCAAAGAAAATTTTTTAAAATCTGGGTTTACTCGTACATTCTTTATGATATGGACTTTTGAAAATGCGGTAAATGAGTCCAGTGTATTTTTGTAGAGATATTCGCCATACTTTTCCACACGAATCCACCTGATGTCATCTCGAAAATTAATTTTATCACCACAGCAGTTTTTTTTTATATTAATAAGATTTAATTTATTTTCAATGTCTGTTATGTTTTTAAAATGATCAATCATATTAATCACTACTGATCCCTTTTTACTTGATTCTCTGATAACATCTCGATATTGGTCCGCTATAAAAATAGTTTCCACTTTTCTCATTTTTTTTCCGATTATGCCAAAATCTCTGTCAGAATCTATATACGAATGTATCACTTCTGGAAATTTGTGATCTATTGTCTCCACGTAACCTTTTAAAATGAAGTATTGATACAAACCCATCATGTTGAAATTTTTATTCTGCTCAGAACAGGAGTCAGACCATATAATTAGATGTTTTATTTCCTTTTTCTTATTTGTCAATAGTTGAACAAAAGTGTGCAAAGCACTACCAATTTCGAGACTGCCTTTAGTTGTCACGCTTTGTCAGCTTCGAATGAAATAGTGTGTATTCCAAAGTTATAGAACCACACTTGTCTCAAATAAAACGCTTTTGACGTGGTAAGCCTTGGCAATGGCATGGTTTGTTGCAAGTCCATCGTTAAGTAACAAATATTTTGGTTTTCTCTGGCATACTGTCTGTCACTTTTTTGCTGATCAGAAGCATATTTAAACTTTTCTTTGTGCTCTTCATTTCCTAAACCAGCACCACATGTGTCACTTTTAGATTAGACTTTGACAAATTAAATTCTGTGGCAAAAATATGAGCGTAGAAGCTTTGTTACTAAAAATCGTTTATCCAAAATATTCTTTGCTTGAATATATTCTTGGTACAGTTCATGCATTTTTGATATGTTCAACAAGGGTGATAAATATATTTTGTGAACATTTTTGTTCCGAGAATAATGTGATTGTTCTGCAGGAAAACAGCGAATGTGACTTTTTACAGTTTCAACTACATCGTCTGCAATTTTATTTGGCCTGGAGTTATGCCGTCCTCTTTTATCTGGCGATGGAGCCTTAGTTCCTGAGTTTAGTTGATTTTGAATAAGCTGCACCTTTTTATTCGAAATCTGATATAGTGACATAAAAGCACTCTTACAAACTGTTTCAATATTTTGACGAGACGTTATTGTGTAAGTAAATGTAGAAGAGTTATTCTTGCTCGTTTTTTTTCTATGACGGCTAACTGGCCCAGTTAAAATAGATTTAAAAAGTATGTATATATATATAATGCATAAAATTTTTAAAAAATTGTGTCCCTTTGATTTCTATCAAACTTGTCATCACATTTTTTTGCAGTTTTCTTTTTTACATAAGGAGTTTTGCCGGCATTTCTTTTTTATTTTTTAAGGATACGTAAGCTCTTGGTCTTGCTAAAATTATCGGTATCTTGTATTTTCGGTTTTTTGGAATTTGGCGGAGTTATATCTTGCTCATTTTGTACTGCGGCATCTAAAACAAAATAAAAAAATTTATTACGTTTATTTAGACTACTAAAGGTACGAAAGTCTTCCTTGGACCCGTCTATATGTAGAAAAATGCCAAAGATCCTTCTGGAATTGCAATTTTATCTGGATAATCTTGCTGTTCTGGTAGTTCACATGTCCGAGAGTTTTCACTTTTTTCATTTTGGCTACATTCAACAGATGGTGTTTGTTGCTCAAATTGTCCTAAAACAATATAGGTTACAGAACAAGATCACAATATGTAGCACTAGCAACACAAAGCTTTTTCTAAAAAAAAATAATAACCGGCAAAAATCCTAACCTCAAATTAACAGCCACTTAGGTACATAATTTGAAAGCATAAAAAAGTTGTTTTATTTTTAACATACATACCTTCATATTGTTTCCGCGCCAGATTAACCAAAAACACAAACAACAGATCAGTTTGGTCAGGCGTCAAGGATATATGTACGACAATATGTACATATACCCTTTGTGAACCTTCTCAGTGTAATCTTGTAGTGTACATAATCCCTTTATTCTATATTAAATCTGTTTTTAATGATTTTGAAACAACCTTCAATATTTTTTATAACTTTTAGGTACAAAATATCATCATTAAGCAGAAAAAGTCATTTTTTTAAAAATGTTACATAGACCCTTCATGCACTTACGTCTTCAATTATTGCAGATGAGGTACGTAGATCAGCAGGGAGATTGACACGTATTCATCATAAATGGCAGAACATCAGGAGTGGAGCTAAAGTCCAGAGTTGGATTCGAGTGGTCACTTGCCATTCACATATGCAGAGATTTTCGTACCCATTAGGAAAAGTCATAGAATATATTTCAGATTCATATTCAAGGGATAGCTCTTCCAATGAAATGCTGTAGCGTTTAAAGTAAATTTTGCCCCTCATCTGTTCACAAAGTTAAGAAAACCATTTCCGGCATACCTTGAGGAAAAAGAAATGTTTCTGTCTGTATTTCCCTCTGCCCGGTTATACTGATAGAAATTGCCTGAATAATATCCGGGCAACAGTTAACACCCCCTTTTTTAGTCAATTATAAAAAAAGCTGGTTGACCTTCTGTCAAGATTGGGCACTTTTAGGCACAGCATTCGATTGCAATAGAAAGAAGGTATCTTTACTTGAGCGGACGAGGCAGACCTAAAACCTAGTAAAGGCAATAATGGACAGCAATCAAGACAGAGTTCGAAACTTTGCGGTAAGCATCGGGATCTTGGGGTCAGCTTGGCTTTCACTTCGCTACAGCCGACACTACACTAGCGAGTGAAATATTTTGCCCTGTAACATTCTCAAAGGAATTTAACCCTACTATGCCACTAACATAGCATAAC